TTTTGGTTACACGGCACACCCCACAGGGATTCAAATTTTGACAGTGGTTGAAGCCTTAATTGAAAAGTTCCCATGTCTCAAGGAATCAGGATCTTTCAATGGCCTTTATGGGTGGCAGCAGAGGATGAAAAATGGGGAATTACCGTTCAAAATTGAGAGGCCGTCAACTTGCCTGTCCAGAACTGGAATTGAACTCACTGAAAAGACAGATCAAATGAGAATGCTTCAAGCAAAGGCATCAAAAAGCCCAAGAAAGCATAGGTAAACTACCTGCCTCCACTGCCAATTGGAGACACAGAAGCCACTTTAGAGAAGGAGAGGGTAGACATGCTGCAAGAAATTAACAAGAAAAACAATGAGAGGATAATATCTGAGAAAATGGAAAGATCTTTCTCCTTCCGAAGACAGGAAGTCGTTATTCAGTGGCCCGCCATCCAAGATTTCCGGGAGAGATGGCCTGCTCTTTTCTCTGAAGTTCAGGTAAAATAAGTGTTTGTGTGTTGCATCAAAAAATCTATTAAGAAATAGTTTTTATTAAAAAGAAAAAAGTAAATAGCATAATTGTACCTTCTTTTTTCAGATCAAGGAGGAATTCAAAAGGATCACAACGGTTCCCTTGGAAAGAACTTTTCTAACTAACTTGGACTTCTACACTCCAAAAATGCAGGAGATATTCAGCAAAAAAGGCGGAGTAGCTGGGGCAAGAATACGACCACTTTTGGATTCACTCAGCCAAGTAAAACGGGTTCCCAAACTTTTTTGACTCAAGGCCGATTACAGAAATTTGATGTCTTGATGGGACCCCAGCCTGATGTCTTTGTCACACACAGGGAGAAAGAGACGTGTATATATAGACACATTCATAACTTGTGTAGATAAATTAATTAATGTGGTACTTTCAACACAAGCATCTTCTGTCAAAGCAGCGACATGTTGAGGAGAGGCGGGAGCCTTGATGGAGTTTCTCGGGGAGTCTTCAATGGAACTCATCAAGGACTACAAGGTTAATTCAAACATGTTAAGATCACAATGTTCACTTGTGTACATTATATTGTATGTAAAAGAAATCCCCATGGCAAGTCATAATGATGAGATCTTTTTTTTAAATGGCTCCCTTTGTGGTTCACAATTTTTTTTATTTTGCATCCTGGTTGGCCTGAAAACAGTTTCTGTCGATGTTCAGGCAAAAACAAACAAATGTTGAGCATTCTTGTGTGATGTATCAATATGCTAAAAAGAAAAAGGAGTCACGGAACAAACATTTCTATTGAATCTATTTTGTTTCATGCATGAAAAGCAAAAAATGAAAATTGACAGGATTAAGCAAATATTGGATACTGGTTGGATACTGGTTTTATACTATTGGATATTGAAAATTTAGGGCAATGATTGTCTCTGCTCGATTTTCTCTTCTCCTCTCTCCTCCCTTTTACTGTGTTCTTTTCTGTCCCCTCCCCTCCACTCTCCTCTGTTGATCTCAAATATGTTTTAATTAGCTTCAGTTTTGAGGGATCATTTTTTAATGCAGAGTGATAGTTTTTAATAACTTCAATAACTTACATAGTTTCTTATGTTTTTAATGCATAACTCTACACATTCAGGACTAAATCACCCTTGGACAGTTATAATACTCGTTAATTTGCACACCACGGACCCTCCTCAACAGGTGTTGACGTCGGGTGAGCAGGTTGTGGGTTGCTGCTGCTGCTGGCCGCTGCCGTAGGAGCAGTGAAGAAACTTCTGCAACTTTGACGTAAATGTTTTGTTTTCTTCCTTCTTCCTCCTCTTTTCAGCACCGCTGGGATAGCTTTGCTTCATCCTTGTGATACTCTCCTCTTACACTCTTTCGCCACTTCGCAACGTTTGGTTTTCGTTTTGCCGGTTTCTTGGATCCGTTCTGCACATGCACAGTAAAAATGGACTGATCCAATGTAGTGGACAGTGAAGTGGGGGGCCGACACACACATAATACAATACGCATTCTGCTGGCATTTTAGTGAGAGGATTTTAATCATAAATATAATTATTATGCGCAAATAAGTAATAACTTGATTAACCATAAGTGTATGAGGATTTTTACGGGGCCCCTCAGGAACTTGGGGCCCTAGGTAACCGCCTAGTTTCGCCTAATGGTAAGTCCGCCCCTGTTTATGACACTAGTCTGTAACTTGAATGAAAAAAGTAAGCTGTACTATATGCACTTGAACATGGATTCATATATATTTTACAGGATATCAGTAGAGAGGCAGCTCAAGAAGATCAGGCTGAGCGAGTCCTGAGGATCTGTGTCTACCACACTCAAGTGGCGATGAAGGTGCATTCAAACCGGATGTATCGATTGTTGTTGAAGGGACTGAAGTATTCAACATCTGTGGAAGTGCGGCAAAGGCCTGTCTCCTGCTGATGAACTTGAGCTATCCCCCCAAAATGAAGTGCACGTTTGAAGTCTTTCAAAAGCTTCTTGTTGAGCTTGATGTCCTCAAGCTGTCCCCAAAGATCCTGTCCCTGAGGAACAAGCTTATAGCTCGAGTGCACATGTTTTTTCAAAGGGGGCACATTTGTTTATGTGGCCTGTTTTCTATGTTCTGATTTTAATTGTTGTTAATTGTAAAAGAATAATTTTAAAACCAGAGGTTCTCAACTGGTGGGTTGTGGGACCATTGTTTAAGGGTTTCAGATGTGGGTGCTGTGTTGATGTTTCAAAAACCTTTTGGAAAATATTTGATTGAAAAATATATATTTTAATAAAGGTGTTAACAATTACCTATTTTACCTTTAAGTAATTGTTTCAATACACAAAAACATTGAGAACAAATTTAGGCAATCTAAACTGCAGAAAATTATGTAAAATGTTGTGTAAATGTTACTTACATAGTCTATAAATTAAAGTTAAAAAAGGTATTTAAAATAACCTTGAAAGCCATTGATTTTTAGGTGAGATTTTTTAGTTTGAAGCAGTCAGTCTGAGTAAAACTTACAAAGAAGGTGTAAAAATCAATGTCCATATTAATAATACTTACTTTTTTTTGATGATCATCCTTGTAGAATTTACTTTACTTTCTAAGTGCAAAAAGTTGTATTAACTAAATAGTACTCCACATTTTTTTTCAGTGTACCTGGACGATATCTTAAACCTGGCGTGCACAGTCGTATGCGCACTTGTTTCAATTCATGGTTCTAAAAGGTTTGCGTCTGTTGCAGAGCAATTCACCGCCAAAACAATAGGTGGAGTAACGTTTTTTGTTGAAGACGACCTATAGACATCTTTGTGTGTGGAAGTCGTTGGTTTATTTATTTATCATAGACTTTATTGCCCCGTGCATCGCCACTGCTGCTTTTCATCGCGGACACATTTGTCCCGTATTTTCCTCCACAACTCTGTTCTCCTCGACCGGCAAACCGACGTTTGCGCAGATCTCCCTCCATGAATCGGAGGCCATCCGCACGTCCTTACAGTCCGCTAATGAAAGTAGAAGTGGTCACATATCCGCATTTATTCCGACAAAAGCTCTTCAATCTGATCCGTTCTCTCGTAAACATTCTTCGTTTTAATAATGGCGGTATTGCGCTATGAAAACGGAAATGTGAGACTCCGTAAAGGATGTAGTTAGCAGACCAATCGCAGCCTGGTGCGCTGCGGGAGCCTAGAAAAATGGGTCGACGCACGCAAGCACGCAAGGAGGTGCGAAAAGGCACTGTCAGGATCTCCGATCCCCCCGAGTTGGTTGATGAGAAGAATCGCAGCACGTTGATCAATTAAAGTCAAAAGTTAACATTTATTTAGAAGATAAAAAGATTACATGAGCAATTCTCCGCAGATATCTGGCTCTAACTATTGCTTGCAAGCAGGAGGCCCAACACACCAGCACGTATCTCAGCGTTCTGTGTAATGGCGTCTCCGAGCAGTGAAAACGCTGAGTTTTTATACACATGTGAAGAACATTCTCCGTGCCAGTTACGAGAAGCTACAAAGCAGGTTGAGATAAGAACCCAGGTGAAGCTGAGGGTAGCACACACACACACACACACACAAGATCCTCCTCAGTGGCCGGGGCAAATCATTATTAATTGACATAAAGTAAAAACGTGGATCCGGAACGAAAGCTCCGAATAAGATATGAACCAAGGCCATGAACAGAAGTCCTCTGTTTTAAAGCTTCTACGAGATCGAGTTGACCGCCCTCCCTTCTCAGTGCGCAGCTGCAAAGCAACATTTTGTATCATGCTGCTCCTCGCACTTCAGGGTCAAATACAGGACACTTGAGACACGGCCTTAGCACAAAACAATGTTATAATATATTTTACCACTACATGCATCTCACAGCACACAAAGGGGACACGCAAGGGGCTCTTGCGTCTGCGTGTCCTTGCGTCTCTCTGAAAACGCAGAAGCATAAACTAGGCTGTAGGAGGACGTTGTGCTACATTCATCAAACAGGATATTCCATATACACGCAAAAAAATAAGTCATTGGAAGAGTGTTTCCCACAGATCCAACGTCAATGTGTGGCGGTTGGGGGCTGACGGGAGGTAATTCGCTGAACTGGAATAATTCGTTCAATATTCATTTGTAAGACAGAACTTTATTCGAGTAAATACAAAACAGGGATTCACGCCTATACGAACGTCGTACTAAATGCAACTTCTGTCAGAGCAACGCGGGGCTTGCTAAAAACACGCAGGGCAGACGCGGTGTGCACGGAGGGGAGGGTGTGTGTGTGTGTGTGTGTGTGAGACGCGTGAGTGACAGAGACGGAGGGAGAGCAGTGAAAGGAAATGCAGCTGAACGAATACGCTGCGCGATTTAAATAGCGTTAAAAAAATACACCAAACGCAATGTGTGGCGGCGTTTACCGCCACAAACTAGTGTATGTGTGGGAAACATTGCTTCTAATACACAGGTGCGTGTGTTGAGTGCTGGTCCTCTGGAGGGAGTGAAGGGGGGCGGACCGGAGAAGTCCTGACTCACTACAATAACACCCCCGTCCTGCCACAACGCCGTCTCGTGGGACTGTTCTGCTAGTCGGACAGGTAAAGCCGGCATTATGTACTTCTGTTGTCATAGCGCGAGGCAGGCAAAGAGAGGTGGGGTTTACTTCACCTGACTGACACGGAGAAACAGCTCGTAGAAAGAAAACCAAAAGTCTGACCGAGTGGAAGAAATCTACATTTTACTTGCCGTGAAGCCTTGGACTTTAAATCAGGTTGGACTTTGAAGCAACGTCCACCTCGCCAACCTCCGCCTTCAGGTAAGCTCGTTCAAACACTGAATGGGAGCAGCGGATCCTCACACCCAAAGCCGCGTCTTTAACCATTAAACTCACTCACGCCATAAAAGCTCTCTCTCTCTCTGTGTGTACCGAGCCGGCCTGAAAAGCTGCCGTGCAAACACGTGGTAATGTGGGCGAGCTGAACGGACACCACACAGCCCACATCGGAGCTCCCAACTGAGCTTGACAGGAGTTGAGCAGGCCACGGCTGTATATCCGAACTACAAGTTATCCAACAACGTCACCCATGCAGATGGAGTGATAAACTTAAACGCCGCGATTAACTCCTGCGTTCGGCCTCAATCCAATAATACCGATCAGGAGTTATTTTAATTAAATGCTGACTTGCAAACTATAAGATCCACAGCTCTCTTTTTTGCATAGTGATGAACTGTAAGCATATTTTATAGAATTTTGGATTGCAAGTATGACAAAAATTGTGCCTACCAATAGCTGATTGAGAGGAACCTTTCAGAATACATTAGGATTATTCATAATAGTTACTGCCACTGAATTGTGAAGACTGCCTTAATGCCAAAACATGCCTCAGGTATGTTCTTTTATCCTAAATACACAGCAGAGACTTGTTTTGTTAAGTGAAATATGAGTTTGGGCAATCTGCATAGTATTGCAGCCCATCCAAACCTAGAAATTCAGTCCTGACAGGTTGGAAAGAATACAATGGGCTGTCTGTCTTTGGATGGGTCATTATTTGTGCACCAGTAATTCCAAATGCAGAGTAAATGGTATACTGGCATGCTACCTTTTTTTTAAAGACATGTTAAGGAAAACATCCTGACAAAGCTTAAAAGCAGTAGCTTTTGTGCTGATTCTCCTATTCTGAAATCTTAAGATCATCAAAGAGATCACATGAGCTAATTTCAGAACAATATAATTCTTCGTTAAAGCTGACTCCATAAAAGACTGTTTTGTTTTGCTTTAAGGTTCGCTGGAATGAAACATACGTGCAGGATGGTCTTCCTAATATGTAGTTGTAGTATGGCACTAAAAACCATAATCAGTCCTTCACATTCAGCGTGGGGAAGTAATCTGGCTTGTCAACTATTCTCAGGTCTGTAATTAGAGGTTATTAAAACATACGTCAGTTTTTCCAGTATTTATACGTCTACAGCTTTGGCGGGTATGCGTACGCGGAAATCAAAATGTTGGTGGGTAGCGATCAGTGGATAATTGTTAACAGACAAAAACAACAGACTTTCTTGAGGGGTGGGAGTTTCGGTGCCCCCCTAATATAATGGCAGGGGACCACACGTTGTGAACAATCTGTGTTTCACAGACGTTTAGCATGCTTTTGTAAGGTTGCACAACTGGTGTGTCTGACTTCCATATCTTTGGATGTGAGGGCCTCAGGCAGTCTACAGTTGTTTTTCTTTATGCAGTCAGTTTGTTACTTTGTATGTGACAGAGCCAGACTTCTTGAGTGATGACCCGTCTGTGTTGTTAGTTGTGTCATGCACCCTCATTCTCTGCAGCTTTTAAATAAGTGTGTATTCTCTGAGGTGGGGTGCTAAGAGGTACTTAAAAAATATTCCTTTATTAGTCCCACAATGGGGAAATTGATAGGATCACGGCAGCAAAGTGGACAGTACACACAAGATACATGATAAAAAACAAGAGCAGCATTATAATGATAATGATAAAACTGACCAGAACAAAAAAATTTAATGTAAAAAAAAACGAGTGCAAAGGCCACAGTAACTAAGTACTAAATATATGTATATGCACACATACCACAGTGGTTATTGCACATTGTTATCTTTATTGTACATATGGTTTCAGTGATTTAATGTGTCACACTGCGATGAAGTTGTTGAGTTTGTTTTATTTTGTCTGTGTACTAATAGTCTTGCCCTGTGCCAGTGTGTTAGTTTCTGCCCGTGTGTTGGTGCGTTCTCTCTAGCCTTGCCATAGATACCAAGCCTTGAAAACCATGTCATTGGGTTCTGCTCCATTGTTTTCCTCCAAGAGAGTGATTTTGTAAGATTTTGTAGCATAGATTTAGTGCTTACCCGCTATCTTGATAAAGTTAAGTCTTTTTGTTTTTCCTCCTAGTTGAGTGACTTTTGTTTGATACTTTTTGTAGCCTCACTTCCTCCTAAACTATTTATTGGAAGAAGTGAGTTATAGATAATTTTGATAGTTCGTATTTATTTCTCTGCCTTGGAGAGATTCAGCCAATAAAGACTACAAGTCCCTTGACAACCCTGCATCTGTGTTCTGCCGGTTTGTGACAGGATGATAGCTTAGTCATCATCCTCCTGTTACTCACCACCTCTATTGGGTCCAGTGGACACCCTAGCACACTGCTGGCGATCTTGATGACGTTTTTGAGTCTCTTCCCGTTGGCCGCCGATATGCTGCTGCTCCGGGCGGCTCCAGCTTGTCGTTCAGAAGTAGAGGCTGGATGGTGTTGAGGGCACTGGAGAAATCCCAAAACATGACTCTCACAGTGCTTCCAGCCTTTTCCAGGTGAGAGAGCCACTCTAGTGTCTTCATCGGGTGGGATGTTAACGTCACCGGCCTGAAGCTGTTTAATTTGTGGGGTCTTTGGGATTGGTACATTACATTATATTACATTTAGCTGACGCTTTTATCCAAAGTGACTTACAATAAGTGCATTCAACCATAGGGATACAAACTCAGAAGAGCAAGAAACAAGAAAGTGCAATTTCCTCAAATAAGCCAATTTACAATTTGCTATAGATAAGTGGTGTTACAAGTATAATTTAAGCGCTACAACTTTTAGTAGAGGTAGAGTCTGAAGAGGTGTGTCATTAGTTTGCGGCGGAAGATATGAAGGCTCTCTGCGGTCCTGGTGTGATCAGAGAGCTTGTTCCACCATTTCGGAGCAAGGACAGCAAAGAGTCGTGATCTAGTCGAGTGTTTTGCTCTCAGTGAGGGAGGGACGAGCAGCTTAGCAGATGCAGAGCGGAGAGTGCGGGTTGGGATGTAGGGTTTGACCATGTCCTGGATGTAAGCTGGACCCGATTCCTTCACAGCATGGTACGTGAGCACCAATGTTTTGAATTGGATGCGGGCAGCCACCGGTAGCCAGTGAAGAGAGCGGAGGAGTGGAGTAGTGTGGGAGAATTTCATAAGGTTAAAGACGAGTCGAGATGCTGCATTCTGGATGAGCTGCAGAAGTCGAATGGCAGTAGCGGAGAGACCTGCTAGGAGAGAGTTGCAGTAGTCCAGGCGGGAGATGACAAGAGCCTGAATCAGTACTTGGGCAGCCTTCTGAGTGAGAAGGGGACGTATTTGTAGAGCGTGTATCTACAGGATCGTGTTGCCGCGGTGATGTTGGGAGTTGTCTGTTGAGTGTCACGCCAAGGTTCCTAGCAGTCAAAGTGGGCATTAGCACGGAGTTGCCAAAGTTGACCGTCAAGTCCTGGGTCGGAGAATCTTTTCCGGGAAAGAGAGAAGTAGTTTAGTCTTGTCGGAGTTGATTTTCAGATGGTGAGCGGACATCCACTGAGAGATGTCAGTCAGACAGGAAGAGATCCGTGCCGCCACCTGGTTGTCCAAGTGAGGGAAGGAGAGAATTAGTTGGGTGTCATCAGCATAGCTGTGGTAGGAAAAGCTATGCAAGCGAATGACAGCGCCGAGAGAGTTGGTGTAGAGCAAGAAGAGGAGGGGACCCAGGACGGAACCCTGACCCAGGACAGAACTCTGAACCCTGTTTCACAGATTATGAAGTAGCTGCAATGTTGATTTTGCGTCTTAAAAAAAAGTAATAGTTGTGTTTATGTACAGCACATAGTCAGTGGTTTGACTGATTGAAAGTATAGTGTATAGTCCCTCTGTGGTGTGGGGAACTGCCCTGAGGTGAAGCAAAGAAGTGAATTGTGTCCAAGTCAAACACTCTGCGTGGTGCGTTCACTATCTATTAATATTATGTACGTCACCAGCTAACAAGTATACTTCCCTGCCACATTCTGCCAACGCTGGAGACATACAGACAATGATGGCAAGCACTATAGATGTTATAAGTGAGTGGTGGTTGCTACTCAATTAAAAGAAATCCATGAATCTTTCTTGTAATGCCAGAAAGCAGTGGAAGAAGCAACTGTTAAAATGTTTGTGTCCTAAAACAACACCATCAAGCTCACTGTCTGTGTTCTAAATGTCCATGCTTACATTCTCCCTGCGGGACTCTCATCCTATAGAATATTTGTGTTATTCAGTCGATTCTTTTCGTCTTTTTTATTTTATTTAGGCAAGGACTCTCCAGTCCATTGACAGCCCGCTCTGTGCAGGTGTGCTGGGCTTCGGGGAGCGGCAGAACGCTGTGGCTTCAGAGATCATGTCTGATGGAGAGGTGCTGCCCCCAACAGTACCATTTACAAGGGGCTGTAAAGCCAGATCAAGTCTACCAGTGGGTCGATCAAGTTGCCAGACCAGAGAGAGGCCACCTGGTAGGTAGACACACATAGACAAGTGCAAGGCTAACGCCTGGATGGTCTGACTGGGGAAACTTACAAGTGTGAGTTGACTTCAAAAGTTGACTGCAAACAAGCTGTTCCACGATGATATCTTACTATAAAACGTTTGCACATAAATGAGAATGAGAGAACAGTAACAAATTCAGTACAGTACAGTATAGCAACGATCATGATCTGCTTTATTTTAGGCTTGAGCACCTTTATTTGCAAGTGATTTGGTTGAATGACTGAATGAAAAAAAGCTGCCCTTTCAATGTTATGTTTTGAGAAGCTGCCACATATTTACATGTTTTAACATGCTCTAGAGGATTGCACATAGTGATGCAACCAAATATCTGCTTAAAATAAACGCTAACATTTTTTCAATTATTAAGTGCAAGGTTGACATCAACGATCACTGTAAGAGACTAAGGTTGTGTTTGTGTGTTTGTCAGGCATATTATATCTGCAATATGGGGATGAGACAAAAAAAATCAGGATGCCAGTAGAGATCAGCAGTCAGGATGCTCTGGAGGCTCTGTTTGTCACCGCATTCCCTCATCAGCTTACCGTGAAGATGCTGCAGTCTCCCAATATGGCCATCTACATAAAACACACCAACCGCAACGTCTACTACGACCTGGAGGACATCAGGTGAGGCTTTTTAATGTAGTAACTGACAGTTAAACTCACTGAATATGGGATACCCCGAAATTACTGTGAAACACAGGAAAGCGGACATAAATGAACGTGTGTTCAGTCCAGTCAGATGTCTCAGACTTCACAATATACAGTCAGGCGAGTCTAGAACACATATCACAGGCTTAACCTCTTCAAACAGAGAGACAATTTTCAACAGCCGTTGCCGTGGACCAAGTAGTCAAGCCACAACAGGTTAACTGCAAAGTGGGTTTATTTGCCGAAACATTATTCAATACCAAACATTTACCAGAACAAATTAACAGAGTTATAGGGCCCCACTAAAAAGGAGTCAACAAACTCTTAAAGACTAAGGTTGACAAAGACATCAACGAAAATGTATATAGTGACTGACCAAACCAACCAAAGCATATGGGGGAGGACAACCCAAGATATGAACCACAAGGTAACCTAAGCCCTAATTCCCCCATGGTGTCAGAGCTCTTGGTGTGGTATTTGGCTCTGTAATCTTTCATAAAACCAGACTCCACTCTCAGCTTCATCTTTTGTTCAAACAGCTACCAGGTAACTTTCAGTGTGTATACCCAATATGTCCTCAAATATTTCATGTTCTAAAGTCAAAAGCCCCCTCTCTTCTGTCGTCCTAGGCCAAGGCTAGTAGTAATGGTCAGGTCACAGAGATTAAAGCTGAATGGTAGTACACAATATGCCTGCACACTCAGGGTAACATTCTCAAGGGTCATTATTTCATGATAAAATGAAGAACAGTATATGCAATATGCGCACCCCCTGCATGGTTGACATCAATTATAAATGCATACAGATATGTACAGTATGAGAGAAAGTGTGTGAGACGTGTGAGAGACAGTCGATGCTCTTCTGCGGTATGTGGTGTTCACCATGTGATGTTACGGCTCAAGAAGGTCTTCCTGTAAATTTAATGATTCCTTTCAATCCTTTAATTTCTGTCGGATAAATTTAATGTATTGTACATCTTTTACATTGTTCATTTTATACATCCATCGCAGTCTGTCTGTCACGAGGGGAGGATCCTTCTGTGTCTCTCTAAAGGTTTCTTCCCTTTATTCTCCCCATCAAAAGCTTTTTCATTGTTTGGGGAGTTTTCCCTGTGCCGATTTGTGAGGGTTTATGGACGGAGGCAAATTTGCGATATTGTGCTATATAAAATAAAATCATATAATCATGGCAAAAACTTACACCGCCCCCCTGTGAGGGTTACAAACCTGAGAAGCATTGCACACAAGTTACAAAGTGTTGGGAAAATCAATCAGAATCTATTTCTTTAAATGTGTCTGCTGGCAGAAAGCTTCATTGAATTCATCATCATCCAATGACAATAATGATCTCAACTATTTTAAAATAAGTAGAACAAACAAAGCCCAAAGAGTCTAATTGATATGAATTATTATTATTAAGTTATGAGGATATACCGACTGTTACAGCTTATGTATCACATGTATGTGTAGCTGACCATATAGAACTAGGAGTTTTATTATGTATGTGTGTGAATATGTGTAATGCAGATCGGTATATCTATTGTTCATAATCCAACATTTGATCAATTGAAGCAGTGAAACATGGAACGTTTATTTGGCTCCAAATAAACCAGCAGAACTTTACGAAGAGCACGAAATGCAGCGTCCTTACCGATGTTCACTGCCATCGCAACGCTGTACAAACATGTACAGTATGAGAAAGTGTGTGATATAGTATGAGACACAGTGTGGAAAGTCCTCCATGGAGTGTAATACGAGACCCGGTGTAGTCTCCATGAGGTAGCTCCGCCAGTTCCCCGTCTATGTCTGCAGTGTTGGACAACTTTGCGGTGCTGCTGAGCACAGCACACATACATTTGTGAATGGACCTCCACACTCTCATTAACTTATTAAACCCTGGCCTATCTGTCCCCAAGATTAGGGGGTGGGAGCTTACCGGAACCCTAACCCTTTTCCCTTATATCTACTGCCATTATGGAATACTGGTATACATTCCCATGCACACACACTCCCCACAATACCTCCACCGTTACCCCGGGCCAAACTAGTCTGTGGTGGACCATGTACAGCCAGTATCCATCATTAACATATGTATACCTCTCTGTATTCTTCCCTGAATGCGGTATGTTGCTCCCGGTCCACCGGGGAAGGGTGTTGGAAGGCCGGCAACCCTAATAACCTGTCCCACCTTTGTCAGTGGCATAGCGGCAATGTACTGTAGGTGTTTGCTTGTTCAGTTTGACCGCTACCTCAACTATGCCGCTGACTGGCACTGTTTCACCAGTGTAGGTCTAAGAGGATGTTAGACTTTTTCAATGTTAGATGTTTTAATGCCTTTTTGTGGATGCGGCCTGACACAATTGACACTGCTGCCCAACTGTCAATCTCCATGTGAGTGTGTTGCCATTCTAATGGGAGTAACCGAATACCCCTGTGACCCTCCCTTAATGGACAGTATGTGAACTCTCCGATCATCTGAGCTGCTACTATCTCCAGATGAGCCATTCTGGTATTCCACATTATACACGCCTTTCTTTTCACAAGCACATTTTGGTGGCTGAGGCTCTCTTTTGTTGTTTGTTATCGTTTTACTCTTGCATGCACGTTCAATGTGACCCTTTTTCCCGCATTTCCTACAAACTAGGTCTTTGCTCCAGCATTCGGATGCTACATGTGCCATCTCATCACATCTGTAGTAGTTTCATTTGCAATCTTACGCAGTTGTCGTTAACCCAACCGAACTTAGCTGATGTGCCTCCATGGACACGCTTTTTTCCACTGGCCTGTCCAGTATCAATGCCTTTTCCGTAAGCAATCTTTTTTGTATGGTTTCGCTCCTGAGACCACACACCAGTCTGTCTCTTATTGCTTCGCTTAGCAATGCTACGGGGGGGTGGCGTCAAACAAATTTGTACAGTGTACAAAAACTTGCACATCACAGCAATGTGACTTGACACGTCCTCCTAGTACAACAAACACTCATGTATTCGTTGTCCTCATCGCCAGTGGTTCTATCTTGGTAATTTTTGTATTACTCCAGAATAAGACCATGCAGAGTCAGAGTTGGATTCATTGTGTCTTTACTTCTTTCGCTTGCATACAACACCGTATACATACATTTCCCCTGATGTAATGCGGTCTTTTACATCACACATGCCAATGGCGGCCACTCATGGCTTCAACATTGGGAACAGTTTGGACTCTTTTTGACTCTCTCCCTTTCCTAATGTGTCCATTTCGTCCTTTGGTCTCTCTCTTCACAATATACTTAGTAAATTGGTTGTACATTAATGCAGTCCACCTATCAGGAGAACAGTTGGTTTAAAGAGTCTTATACCTCCCAGCATCACCGATTGGCAGGCTGAATCGAAATCTTGCACACATGTGAATGTTGATTCTACATAGAGTATAGTGTCCCAACCATTTCATCTCTGTGTGAGACATCACACACACTTTAAACATCACTGTGCGTTCTGTTTGTTTCTAGAAACATCACATCCCACTCCTGTCTGAAGGTTTATCATAGAGACCCAGCATATGTGTTCAACCGCCATGCCAGGCCAGCCAACACAGAGGGCAGGGTGAGTCTTCAGTCTGCAGCCATCATATTGTATTTGTATCCTGCAGTGTTGAATGGGTGACAATGTATGGAGGGGAGAGGCATCGAGGGAGGGACGGGGGAGAGACAGAGGCCCTTTCTCAATATGCGTTTTTGTTTGGACTTGTGTTTGGACTTGTGAAACGTCAGTCGCAGCCTGAATACTGTTCCAATTCTAAAGTCCACATCCCGCCGAGAACTGTCATAATACCCGGATGTGACTCGCCCCGTGTATTTTACCGAAAATGCATCGGAGCAGACCTATCCGTTCTTGTGCGAGCCAAATATCCAAGAATGCATTTTAACGGGACCGTCAGACCCATCCAACACCGGGTGGCCAACCTCATCTCAGCCCGTTCTTGGAAAGTCTTCTGTGAAATGCTCTCCTGGTATTCATGTCTCCGTACCGGTTATACGTGAGCTATAGCTAGGCATGAGTGTTCATACTATTGAACCTGTTGTCAGACTGATTTTTATTCACCGGTAACGTTAAGTTTGTTTTAGGGCAGAGTTTAAATTCATAACTTCAAATTAAAGCTGCGAGCAGCGATGAACAAAGTGAATGGGAGCTGAACACAGAATTCCTGCTGCATATAGAAGAATGCTGAGTGCATACGACACAACAGTCTTCAAGGCTCCAAACACAGCGTACGTTTACCCAAGCAGCGAACCAAACACGCCAAAACGACCTTATGTCCTCGACCTGTGGAACTAATCGATGCAAACGGCGCTCCACACGAGCCGCACACAGTAAGAACTCCGGTCACGTACCAACGCTCATCCGGTGAGTTGTGCCGGCCGGCCGGCCGCTGACGTGAGGAAGTCGTGGGAAGATTCGACGCTGTTGACAAGTGTAGGTGATGTGATTGTTCAGTGTCCCTGAGAGGCTGAGTAGGGGAGATAAATTGTGGACGCGCTTCCTTCAATTAATCCAGGATCCAGTTACTGCATTTTTCTTGTTTTAATTTTTGTACATTATACATCATTTAACGGTCAACAAAATATGTCACCCCCTCTCCTTCCATTTCCCCAAACTGTGGACACACCTTTATCCCCATTGAAACACCATGTGACTCAATTAAAGTAAAGAAAAGAAAAGGGGCGTACCAGGTGGCACCAACAATACCTGGCTCCTACACCTGATATACCCAGTAGACTACAGACCTCGCTGTATACTATTGACAGTATTGACAGACCAATTCAAAAAGACTTTAAATCAATCAAGATCAACTCCATGCAGTCAAGGAAAATAACAGTAGCTGATCACAAACAACTTCTGTGGCAAACACATTACATTACATGTCATGTCATGTAGCTGACGCTTTTATCCAAAGCGACTTACAAGTGCATTTCAACCATAAGGATACAAACTCAGAAGAACAAGAAAGTGCAGTTTCATCAAATAAGCCGATTTACAACTTGTACAATGGCTCTACAAGTGCTACAGTTTGTTGTTTTTTAGTGAAGGTATAGTCTGAGGAGGTGTGCCTTTAATTTGCGGCGGAAGATGTAAAGAATCTCAGCGGTCTTGGTGTCTTCAGAGAGCTCATTCGACCATTTCGGAACAAGGACAGCAAAGAGTCGTGATCTATTCGAGTGATTTGCTCTCAGTGAGGGAGGGACAAACAGTTTGACAGATGCAGAGCGGAGAGTGCGGGTTGGGATGTAGGGTTTGACCATGTCCTGGATGTAGACTGGACCCGATCCATTCACAGCATGGTACGTGAGCACCAATGTTTTGAACTGGATGCGGGCAGCCGCCGGTAGCCAGTGAAGAGACCGGAGGAGTGGAGTAGTGTGGGAGAATTTCGGAAGGTTAAAGACCAGTCGAGCTGCTGCATTCTGAATGCTGCAGAGGTCGAATGGCGGTAACAGGGCTGCCAGGAGAGAGCTGCAGTAGTCCAGGCGGGAGATGGCAAGAGCCTGAATCAGACATGGTCTTCTAACACAGGACTGACCACTAACTAAATGAGGGGTCTAACCAACTGGAAATGACTACTGTATATAAAGTTCTCTTCTTTTCATAATTTATAGAACAGTTGATCGGAGGTCATGTGATGGATGAGCTTCTGTGAGCTTGGCTGAAACTATTACTACTATTGTTATCATTGTTGGTCTACTGAATCCTCTACAGTTGTTATTAATACAGTCCTTTTAAATCATTATTTGGCTTACTGCTACTGTGGAGATATTTTATATTTCTTGTACATGTGTTGTTGATATTGATAACGTATGTAATATTATAAACCTATAACTGTCTACAGCCTTGTTGTGATAATACACACACAATGATATCCACGAGGGACTCTGTGTACAGGGTTTTTGGACTGCATTACCCTGAAGGACCATGTGGGGTCCTCAG